AAGCTGCTGTTTTCAGTTTGAGGGACCTCATGCCGTGATCACACGTCTCTCCATGTTCCTTTTTAACTTGAAGCCGGAGTTTCGGAGTTTCAGATATCACACCCCAGTTGTCCGTGTTCCAGTACTAGCAGAAAAAAGTCAGCTGCAGCAGGTTCATGGAGTTAAGCTGCCCAGGGCTCTGTGTACAAGCCCAGCTCCAAAAAAGTTGTCACGCTGTGTAAAGCGGAATTTATGGTCCAGCAGAGGTAGCACAGGGACGGCCTCTCTGCCAGGTGCAGGCGGGGTACAAAGTATGCCGATGTGTGTGGGCCACTCTTGCTTGTGCTGTTGTTGGTCCGTCAGCCAACCGTGGAGGAAATCGAAGCTATAACATAGAAACAGCTGAAGTGGAACCGAGTGTTAAAAACTATGAAGTGTCCACTGCAGCCACCGTCTCTGCTTTTCCTGCTGCATTTTTTCATCTTTTAAGTTTTTTTGGCGGTTCTCCTGTTCCCAGTGAACTCTGCTGTTGGCCCCTCCCCTCCCCAGGCCCTTTTGTTAACCATTCATCATCCGTAGACCCTTCATCTGCTTCCACCGATGTGCAGTCAGGATCTTGGAGGTCTGAGGATTGTGGTTAAAATGTAAATAAAAGCTAAATTTAATAATGTGCAAATCTCATAAACTCACATTTTGTCAATACCAGAACATAGAAAACATATCAAATGTCCCACTTTCATAAAAAACACCGGCTCATTTCAACTTTAACGGCAACAACACATATTATAAAAAGTTGTGACAGGGCCATGTTTACCACTCTGTAGCATCCTCGCTTCTACTGGCAAACAGTCTGCAAACATCTGGGAACTGAGCGGACCAGCTGCTGGATTTACAGGAGAGGACTGTGTCCCATTCTCGTCTGATCCTACTGTAGGTCTTGATCTCCTTTTTTAAAAATTTTAATTTCATGTTGCTACAACTGGTTTTAGTCAGCAACTTGACACCCGGGGTCTTCTACTATGGAGCCATGCTGTTGTAATAGGACGGTGGTGCTTTTGGATCATGTTTTTTGCATGTCAGAGCCTTTAGCCTGGATTTGTGGATATCGTGGTTAGCTCTGTTCATGCACAGTGATTCCTGGGCCCATGCAGTCGCTTCCGTGAGAGACTCATGCCTGTTTATAAGTGCTGCCCTTACAGCTTACCAGTATGTTTTTTTGGCCACACCTAAAGAGCTGTTTCTAAAGGCTTGGTTTCACTTCTGCAGACTGAGAACGGCCCGAGAGCCTCTCGGACCCCATGCTGTGGCTTCACAGTAGCAGCTTCCAGATGCAAATGCCAGCCCTTTTAGTTGCTTAATTGATGAAGACACATCAAAGGAATAGCCCACACATGTCCATAAAAAAGCTTTTGAGTCAATTGTTCAATTACCTTTTGGTTCCTTGGGGGGAAAAGGTAGCTTCATATTAAATTAGCTGTATTTCCTTAACACTTTCTCCAATTTTGAAGCGAATAGCCTCAAATTAAAGCTGAGAATCTGCACTCCAAGCCCACATTCATTATGTAACTGTAAAACGAATGCTTCGGTAAGCAGCTGAAACTGAGCATATGGCTAGAAGGTAATGGCTGTGACGGAGAGGCTTGATTGCATATTGAAGAGCCGATATGGAAACTCAGATGATTACAGGTAGATCGCAACCTCTTGACAATCTAAGTATCATACTGATGTTTAAGTGGCATACAGAAGCTGTGAGCTTCCAACGGCAAAGCATCTTCATGAAAATGCATTACGAGATCACAATCAGTCCACGCGCACATTTGTAGCGGTTTTTCAGATATCCGCAACGTCACAGCAAGTAAAATACTTTGAGAAAAAACAGTGGAGAGGTCGATAAAGAGTTCCTCTCGCATCTCAAAAAGAGGAAAGAAATCACTTAAACTGTAAATCAGTAGCACAGGAGGACAGTACAGTAAAAAAAAAAAAGTCATTCCTACCTAATAGAGTTCTTGTATGCACATTAGCACCTAAGCACAATGAACAGAAAGCAGCTTGTGCTCATTTAGTAACACACACACACAAAGCTTTTGTGCGCCACATACGGTTGTATTTATAGGTACAACGACAGTTTGTAGGATGGCCTCGACCTTTTGGCTATCACGTGCTCTGTGGCCGTGGCCATGAATAAATATTATAATACCCACTAGAGTACTAAAATCTCAATGTTTATGTAGCTCTTTGTATTCAGTGAAAGGTAACAAACACTCGTCATCTTCAGCATCTTAGGGTTCACAGAAAAATGAACATCTGCATAGCTCGAGGGCCATATCTGGACACTTCTACCAAGCAAGACTCTCAATGTCTGCTTGCCTGCATTGTGGCTGTATAATAGTGAAAGGAAGGGATTGGACTTAATAGAAAGAGAAGCAGGTATAAGAGGTAGGAAACCTTTTCACTCTTAGCCTAGCTGGTCTTTACGTTCGGCTCGTTTTTGCCTTTTCTGGTTATATTGATGCGCCGTGGTTTGTTTTGTTTGAAGCTAATGGCGATCCAGCGAAAGAATGAACAGTAAACAAATAGACAGACTCAAAACTGATTGAATGGGAGCTCACATATATTACAGCCATTCCACGTCCACAGTATAGAACCGCAAAGTTGGGAAGTTGGGAATTCAGTGCTTCCTGAGCACCAAGTGAATCTCGTCTACATGACCATCAGTCTCAGTAAGCATAACGTGTACAAAGACGAATGCGTTGTCAGAGCGACAGGGTTGTTTATTCGCTGTTCGGTAAAGTGCTTCATCATATAAAGCGTTACCGCACCTAGCTGGCATAAAAAATGTATTCATTTGTTATCAGCCATGGAATTCCTTCTTTTATCAGTAATGATAATAGAGTCAATTTTAACATTCAGATAATTGTTACAGGGGTAAAATAAAAGGCTGTTCTGGTAACTTTTATGGCACATCAACTTTTCTGCTAGCAATAATCGTGCAAATAAAATGAATCCATTTTCAGTCTGTATGTGTTTCAATGGTGTTTTAATGAAAAGCGGCGAGGCAGGGGTTTGCCTTATAATTCATATTCTGTGATGGAGCAACACCGAGATAAGCCAGGCGGATGGTGACATGTAATCTGAACCCCACTGTTTTTTTTGGGGGGGGGGGTTGTCTATGGAAATGACTAGCTTCTTATCGGTGGAGTGGGTTATTTGAGCAGATTCTCGCTGTGGCTTAGTGAAGGGACTCAATCACCACTGCCCAGCGATATGCCTCACTTTCGTCCCCCATCATCCCCCCTTCATCTTTTTATCTGAGGAAAGGAAATGAAAGGATGGTATCTGGTACTCTCCGCGTCCTCGGTTTAGGAGATGGAGAGGAGCGGACATTTTCTTTTAGGCTTTAACTCGCTGATGAAAACATGCGGTCTATAAACCTGCGCTCTGAAAAGAAATACACTGGCAATTTATTGACTCTGGATGTGCACCGACTCAAAAAGGAAGTAGTTATGAGGTAATCTGTGGTGTGACAGCTGCATTTATAACTCTGGAGTAATCAAGCTTTTACACATTTTGGTTAAAGGAACACCATTTTTCCTCATTTTCTGATTATCTTCTGGGCTTTTTCTCTTGTCTCCACATTTTTCTTGGAGGTTATTGCACACAGCCACTGGAGATGATGCTTTTGTTTTTCTGTGTACGTGTACAGTATGCGGTTAATGTAGGAAAATGTTTTTTAATTTGCAGGTAGAAATGGGTTTTGGGTGTGGAGAAGAGCAAAAATGGGACAGACAGAAAGGCTTGAGAAGTTTGCAGTCCACAGTAGGTATATAAAGGGAGGGCCCAGTGACAGATGTCAGGGCTCGGTCATGCATCATTTATTAGTCGGTAAATTTCAGGGGAATCACAGCGTTCGCTGGTTTCTCTACAAGAGGCAGAGTAAATGTACCCTGTCCGACTACTTTGGTGAACCTTAAAAGGCGACTCACACTATTTTGCATCCTTGACAGTTTTGTCCTAAACTAGGAGAAACTATTGCAATGCCTTTATGTCAGGCTGGAATTGGACTTCTGTAAAAACACACAACAATTTTGAAGGTTGCAGAGCCTCCAAATCTCACCTCTGTCTCACATCAGAAGAGGTTGTGACAAGAAGCCAGACTGATACAGGAATAAAGCAAGGTTAAGGCTTTACAGCTTAAGTTGGGAGCTCTGTTAGGGCATCATTCGGCACCGTAATGATTCATCTGAATGATAACACCAGCACATTAGCACAAGTATAAAAACCCATGTCTACTGTATGATTTAAAAGCACCAACATTAGTTAACAAGGATTAAACCTGTCGGTGTGACCAAATCTGGTGTATTTACATGACAAATTTAAGTGCTTATGTTAATTAATGTGCGCTGTCCCCTTTAAAGAAACATAACCAAGGAGCTGAGCTGTGTGCCATTAGTTTTACAGGGTTTTAGGGGTACTGGAGGAGAACTTCTAGAGTCCTCCTTGTTCCTGTGAGCTGATAGGAAGGCAACAGTCAGTCAAGTGACAAATAACCACGTAGCCAAGTTATGCAGAAGAGAATCTCTGAACAGATCATACCTTGACGCAGATGGGCTACAGCAGCACGAGACCACACTTGGCTAAGAACAGGAAACTGAGGCTACAGTTTGTACATGCTCACCAAAATTAGAAAATAGAACAAAAAATGTAATCTGGTAAGAAGAGTCTCAATTTCTGCTGCAAAATCCAGCTGCTAGTGTCAGAATTTCATGTAAACAACATAAAAGCATGGATCCATCCTCTCTTGTAACAGTTCGGGCTGGTGTTGGTAGTTTCACGGTGTAGGGGATGTTTTCTATGTGAAGTTCAACACATAGACAACACATCCAAAAAGATATAGTCTGCTGAGTTTTAGTGTAACTGAGACGTAATATACACAATAAAAAGGTAGAATATATATATATATATATATATATTAAGAAAGATGGGAAAAAGATGGCTGATAGAATTAAAAAAAGAGCTCTTACTTTGACAGTGTCGCCTCTCGTCAGGACGTCCCAGAGTGTGCTCTGAAACTTGGAGAGATCCATCCTGTGACCTCTGTCCAACAAAGCCTGGGAGTGAGAGGAAAATCAAAAAGGTGAATCAAAGCGTGACAAACATGAGTCTGAGCACCCGAAAACAGCTTTACAAAGACATTCAATGTGCAACCGTATCATATAAATTAGTTGAAAACAGCCCACATTACCAGCACTCAGTATATGAAGTTCCTAATAAATAAATAAAAAATTCAATATGACGGGCACCGTAAATATGCACATCTCCCCCTAAAGCACATATGCATTCTGACAGACCTCAGGTTGCACACAAGCTGGTAATCTTGCATCTGTTGTGCAGTGTGCCTGGTGGCCCCACAGGTATAGGCTTATAAAAAGTGCCTTACATAACTGATAATAAACTGCACATCATCCATCTCCCATTCAGCTCACCTCCCAATAATCCCCGCTGCCATATCTGCTTATCTATTCAAGTCACCCTCTCATTAAATCAGCTTTTACAGCCAAATGGAAGAAGTTTACTACTCATAGAAGTCAAATACCATTCATCATGAGGAAGGCTGTAGTTATACAGATATAGACTGCATGTTTTAATTCACTGGAGGACAAACGCATCCTTCCTCCTATCTCAATAAACATAGACTCCTGCAGAAATAAATAAATAAATAAATAAAATAAGGTGGGGGGAAAAATTGACAGGCGAATTAATCTGCTGCCTTTTGCCTGCCGAAATGGAAGTCAGTGAGGCGGCGCATACCAGTGGGTGCCCATCAGTCACAAGACCTTGTGCGGGGCCCGAAAACAGCTGAATGTGATGCCACTGCACATTGGGAGGTAAAGGATGGTGACAGAGAAGTTGGTACAGCTTTCAGTGTTTATTCATCTGAAACAGTGTCCCCTGGAAGCCATTTTGGCAGCAATGTATCACAGCAGGCGCTGACCTTTAGATGCTATGCACAATTAAGCTAAGCTAATAAACACAACTGTGGATCTGGACTCGTGGAACGGAAGGCAGGTGGCTGTGAATCACGCTGGACACGTGAATGGCATAAAGCTCACTTGGGTGGTGTTTTCAGAGCGAAAACTGAAATGTGTTTGTTATGGAGGAAATGAGCTGAATTTCGAGCTTTGTCTGGTGCTGTAGAGGCTTTCTGATGCTCCGGGTGGCCTCTACGCAGAGTACAGAATTGTCCACGCGCTCAACTGAAGCAGTCCTTCGCTAAAACAACATACAGTAACCTTGCCTTGACAGCTTAGTTAGTTAGTTAAGGTTTTAGTTAATGGTTCTTGTAAGAACTGCATTGGGCTGTCTAGACATTAGTATTGTGTAAGAAAAGGAAACTTGGCAAGTCTTTTTTTTCTCTCAACTTTTTGGCTTCAATAATATTCATATTGTCAGTTACCTCATCATATTAACCACGACAAACAGATGTACTGACGAAGTGTACACGTGCAGGAACACAAGTGCCGGACTTTTGCCATTTTCAGAAGTTGCCCTTTCTTGGCACACACCAGGTAATGATCTTCTACAGAAGCATTTTCACCACAGGAAACACTATATTTGATCTACGTGAAAGCGTTTCCTGCAAAGCATGTAAGAGGGGGTGCACCTGCTACCAGATCCCTGGTACAAAATCTGCTTAATATCCAGGTGTGCACATGTAAGAATAGCGCAGGTAGCAGTCAGATTAATTCACAGCACACAATTAGACAAGTGTGTGGACATCATTTTTCCTGCCTCTTACAGGAAAAATGATGTCCACACACTAGGTGGTACTCCTGTCTGAACTAAACACAGTTGAACAGAAAAAATTGCTATCATGTGCAACATGTCTTCTTCTACTTCTTCTTTCAGTTAATCTCTTTAAAGGTAACCACAGCGGATCATCTTCCTCCATCTCACCTTTTCCTCAGCATCCTCCTCTGTCACACCAACTCTCTGCGTGTCCTCCGTCACTATATCCTCAAACCTCCTCTGAGGTCTTCCTCTTTTCCTCCTGCCTGGCAGCTCCACATCCTTTGTTCAATATATCCACTGTCCCTCTTCTGCACATGTCCATCTCAGCGTTGCTTCTCTAACCTTTTCCCCAAACTGCTTGGCCTAAACTGTCCCTCTAATGTACTCATTTCTAATCTTGTCCACTCTGCTTGCTCCCAAAAATCTGAGCATCTTCAGTTCGGCCTCCTGTCTTTCTGTCGGTGCCTCCGTCTCCAAACAACACACGACCTCAGGTCTCACTACCAACTTGTAAATCTTCCCTTTTATCCTGCTATCCTTCTGTCATAAATCATCCTTGACACTCTTCTCCATCCTGGGTGCCTCTCTTCATCACCTCTCTTGTGTGCAGTACATTGCTTTGGATGGTTGACCCTAGGTAATTAAACTCAACCACTGGTACACCTGTCTCCCTCTCATGAACACACACGTTCTGTCTCATTTCTACTGACTTTCATTCCTCTTATCTCCACAGCATACCTCCACCTCTCCAGGCTCTCTTTCACCTGCTTCCTACTATCACTACAGATCACAATGCAATCTGCAAACATAATAGTCCACAGAGACTCCTGTCTGTCTTACCACACACTCCTGTCCTCATACGTGTCCTGCAATACCCTCACATACCTCTCTGCTACTCGTGACCTCCTCACGCAGTACCACAGTTCCTGGCACTCGATCATATGTTTTCTCTAGATCCACAGAAACAGAGCTCAGCTCCTTCTGACCATTTCTATACTTCTCCATCAACTCTCTCAAAGCAAACATCACCTTTAGTGCTCTTTCTCACTCATCGTGACCTTTTTCGCAACCTAGCTTCAACAATCTTTCCCGTATCTTCATGGTAAGGTTCATCAGCTTTATCTCTTTGTAGTTCCTACAGCTCTGCACATCACCCTATTCTTTAAACTCAGTACTAGTACACTTCTTCTCCAATCCTCAGACGTCCTCTCACTCTCCAGGACTGTGTCAAACAATGTGCTCTCTGACCTCTCTCCTACACAGGCATGAGCTACAAGTGAGGTAGAATATTCTGACCTGAGAGTCTTGACATTTTCAGAAGTTCACGTGTAGAAACATCTGGATCCAGGGTTCTCAAAGAGTGAGAGGCCATCGGTAGCTCCCAGTAACAACTTATGAGCCCCATGATTGCATCAAAGTAGGAATGCACATAACATTTATCCGCGCTCTATATGCCATCACGTCGTAGCGCGTAATCAAATTCAGGGAAAGTATCTTTCCACTTCAACACCTTTCCATTAGTCATCACGACAGAGTAACCTTGAAACGTAATAGCGAGACGCCCATTACATTTCCCTCCACCAAATACAGCTGCACAAAGAAATGTAAGATTCATGGTTATGTGAAAATTCGCCAACAGTTCTGAGAAATAAGCTCCACACTTCATATAGTCAAACGAACGCACGGGCTGATGAATCAGTATGCAAAGATATTGCCTTACAAGAGAAAAGAGCTCAAATAACATGGTTACATACTTTGCTATGTTATTTGATAGATCCAGCCGGTCCCAGAAGCACATTTCTACAAATACCATTTATATCTACCTGGCAAGAGAATATTGGGTTTCTAGTCAAAGTTATGAAATGTATCACCTTGCAAATATGTGAAAAGAGCACAAACAAAAAGATGAGACATCCATTACCATGAACCCACACAACTGAAAATATTACCACTCCCACGCCGTATTAGTACATAAGGCATAGAGGATTGTACACATGCATGAGTAGAAAGTCACACAGGTAATAAAGCTGCAGCTACTTTTGTTTATTTGCCTCATGTACGAGTCCTTCTCCCTTCATTTAGGCTTTTATCCTTTGCTCAGTCGGGTACCCGGCAACAAATACACAAACACAGTACGTTGTTCAGACAAAGCAGTACTTACAAGTTAGGCGCCACACCAGCTTCCACAGTTAGCATGGTGAAATTTTCAGCAGTAAGCAATACCACTTAATGTTTTAATTATCATTAAAAAACTGTGTTTGATCATCAAACTTTTATCAGTCACGGAAAACAGTGTCCTCATTTACCCAAAGGCAAGTGCGCAGGTGCAGCATGCAACGTGGGTTTGCTTTGAATCTAAAAAAACACAGCTCAAGGCAGTGAGGGAGCTCTAGAGATTTCTCAGCCTTCTAAGAGGACCAACCCCTCTTTCTCTTTTCTCAGACTGTACATCCTCGATTCCTTTTCGCGTGTTTTTAGCCCTTGCCACTAGAGACGCAGGCGGGGGAGGCGGGGAGAGAGAGGAGTCGGGCAACAGGTATGTAACAAAATGAGACATCCTTGCTTCGGAGCCATCGTTTTAAAAGCAGTGTCAATTAAATGTGACATGTAGCACACAGCTGCATTGTGCTGTTTGCTTTTTCTTTTTTGTGATCGCAGATGTCAGATAGGCACGACAGTGTTTGTGACAGCATATATATATTTAGGCCCACTTTTAATGAAATTCCCAATGCAGCACAAAGTGACAAGAGTGTACAGACACACTTTTTTTTTTTTGGAATCACACACATATACAGTGAAGGGCAGAAAGTCTGACAAGAAAAGACACATCTGAAGTTTGGCTGCAAGCTGGAGTTTAAAAGAGCACTGAGGGCGACTTGAGCTAAGATGGTCACCCTGTCTGCAGAATGAAAACAGCTTCGTGGCCACAACCGCAGGCTTTAAAGGAAATGCAGGCTGAGTTCATGTTTAGCCGAGTGCACGATGTGGGGATTTTGGAGCAGGGGAAGAATGTCAGGGTTTGTCTCTTTAACTCGCTAACAGCTTGTCAAGTATGTAAGCGGAAGCTCTCGGTGTCTGCGGACTAGTTATGTACATCAAACTGCTTCTAAAATATCCTCAATGAGAGAGACACACTGTAGACCCATGGGTGACAAACTCTTTTTATGACGTGGGCCACAAACAGCCCACTTTGAACTTAAACGGGCCGGACTGGTGAAACTCCTGTATAGAAGTTTAACTACACATTTAAAATCCCTGATATATATTAATATAAGATAAAGAAGTGCAGTTCCAGCAAATGAAGGAAATCTGTCAACAC